CTTCATTATAACTGGAGACCCCAGTCTGAAGAGGATAGTTGGCAGAAATGGGATATAGACACAACCAGCATGCAAATGTGGCCCAGTGGACATTTTGGGCTGGATAATTTTTTGTTGTTAGCGGTTGTCCTTTGCATTGTGGGATGTTCAGTAACCTCCCCGGCCTCTACTCACTAGATGCCAACAGCACAGAGCTCTGACTCCCGAGATGTGACCACCAGAATTGTCTCCAGACCCTGCCAAATATCCCCTGGGGAACAAAGCCATCCTTGGTTGAGAACCACTGTGCTAGGCCGAAGACCTCACAAAGTCAAGCCCTTTGTGCCTCTGCCAGTTCAAATTGCTCCTTTGACTCCATGGTCGACCTCTAGCCACTTAGCCACCCACCAACATAAAATACAGATACAAACGTCCTTGAACACCGTGGACAGTTCTTCTCAGTCATATGTGTCCAGTTTGGCTGAGAGGAGAGAAGGAAGCACCGGTGCCTGTTTCCTATCCTTCGCCGACAGGGAGCTCATGCTTGCCATGATTTTTGTTTTGATTTTTTTTGAGTTGGAGTGTCGCTCCGTTGCCCAGACTGGAGTGTAATGGCCGCCCCCGGCCACCGCAGCCTCGACCCGCTGGGCCCCGGCGATCCTTCCGCCTCAGCCTTCCAAGTAGCTGGAACTACAGGTGCGCGCTACCACACCCGGCTGATTTTTTGATTTATTGTAGAGATGAGGTCTCGCTGCCCAGGCGGGTCTCGAACCCGCGGGCTCAGGCAATCCGCTCACCTCAGCCTCCCAAGGTGTGAGATTACAGGCTGAGCCACCAAGCCCGGCCATGCTTGCCATGTTTGGGCCTTAGGTTCGTAACAGCTGGCCCTTCAAAGCTCTCAAGTGCCACCAGCTTCTCTGTCCACTAGCCACATTCTGCAAACCCATGCTCCTCCGGAAATTTTGTTTCGCTGGTAATATTGTTTAATTATGTTGATTCTGCCTTGCAATTGTTTTTCTCTTTTGGCACTTAAATATACAATTATGACTCATGCTCAGTATGTTTATTTTTTGAAATTATTCTAGATTACAGCCTATTAACTAAAACTGGGAGGAGGAATGTATAGAATTAAATTTCTAAAAAATATTTTCCTAAAATATTCCATAACAAAGCAATACATTAGCTTAAATACATTTTAATGTTGTGCCTCTTAGTACATGTGAGGGATTGTTTACTCTCCCCATTCCAAGTCATCTGGTGTTTGAAGCACCAAGGAAAATGGTCAGAAGAAGTTGATTTTCTCTGTGGAGGAAACATTACTAATGACTTCTTTCTTGTGGAAAACTCTGAAAAGTGGATCTCCGTGATGAATAACCTTGAGCAAGTATGTAGTGTCTCATAGCCTGTTTGAATTTGTGGTGGAATGAGGATGCAGACACCTACCCCCTAAGGCTACTCTATCTAATGAAATCACCTGTCTCAAGTTTTTAGCCCTACACCCAACATGCTGGTGTTTTGTACGTGTCATTTTCTAGGACGCTTCTCTTCCTTGTCCACTGAAGAGGCTAAATAATTTGTGGGGTCCAGGCAGGATGGAAATATGGGCCCCTTGTTCAAAAATGAAGACTTTGGAGACAATAGCAGGATGTTAATTAAACCAAGTGTGGGGCCTGTGACTGCCTAGGGTACACCCATTCATAAAGCCAGGCCTGCTCGCTCCCCTGGGGATTCAAGGGTCTATTTGTCCAACCTTCTCCACTGCACAAAAACCACACTTCCAATCTGACATCTGGCAAGGAAATAAATACAACTAAGTAAATCCAGAGCCTCAAGAGGGTGCCTTGTTTTTCAACACTAGCTCACGTTTGCTCCAGCAGCATGCTGAATGTTAGCAAGCCCAGGACTCTTCTAGAAGGACTGTTTTCATCTGTTACGGTATTTTGGTGCTTTGTGTCATTCTCTATCTGGAAGAATGAGAAGAAAAACAAGCCTCAGTTGTCTATGAGTAACTGAACCCTTGATTGATAGACAGCCCAAGAGGCACTTACTGGCCCAAGAGGCACTCCATTCAAAAGCTCTTTCTTGATCTCAACATACCAAACAGTATTCACAAGGAAAACAGCATAGCTCTCTAAACAGGTGATTCTGGTCCTAGACAGCAGACTTTGGGCAACTGGTCAAGAGGTCTAAGAATTAAATACCCAGTGAGGAAGATTTAGTCTCCAAACCACGGAGCCTCTGTTCGGTTATTATTTCTGCTTTACGGAAGCATCAAACATGTCCTTTAAAAGGGTTTCTCAAGGTTCAAGGTTCTCACATCCTATTTTATAAGAAACAAAATCATGTAAAACACAACATGTGTGTGTGCGCGCGCGCGTGTGGGTATAGAGACAGAGAAAGATGAATTTCCTATTTTCCTCTTTTGCAAGAAATACACATACATACACACAGGCACACGTGGCATTCTAACAGAAGGCAAGGAGAACTAACACTTATTAAGCACTTCCTATGTGCCAGGGGTCTTACGAGCATGGGAATATTAATGTACACACCGGTTTTTCCCTTTTTACAGTGCAGCAAACGAGGCTCAGAGCAGTTACGGATCCCGCCCAAAGCCATCCAGTTAGCGAGATGGAAGCCCTGGATTGGAGATCTGGAGACTGCCTAGACAAAATTACCTTCAGGTCCTGACCCCTGGGGGGAGGGGCAAGGCTGACCAACACAGTCTTTCTTAAACAGCCGACCCAAAGCAAGCAGTTGTAGGTAGAAGGACAAACCACTTCCCCCCCCTCCTCCTAGACCACCTCCACAGCGGCTCCCCACCCAGGGCGTAGTGCCTGGTGGTCGCGGAGCTCGCTGCACACGCAGCACTCCCGTGAAACCCAAGCATGGCAACTGAGACCCTTCTCCGACCTCGGCCTCTGAAGGACCCAAGGCCCCACCCAGACCTGGCGCGGCAGGAGGCAGGTTCTGCCTGCACTGGGGCACCTTCTCCGGGAAACTGACAAGAAGGCGGCCTGAGCACCCCCAGGCCGTCTTCCCCGATCAGCAGCTCCTCTCCGCGGCCCCCCGGGGCCCTCACGATCCCGTCCTCGGAGTGTCTAAGGAGGCCAGTTGGGGGGACTGCTCCGGACCCCCTCGCCCGGCCGCCGGGTGACAGCACACCCTTTCTCCACCGCAGTGGCGGCGCCCGCGTCGGTTTTTCTGGGCAGCGGCGCAGGAACCCAGCCAGGCTGGGACGGTTTGTCGGACTTCAAAGCCACGCGTCCAAACCCTCCGGTTTTGGTGCCCCAAATTCAGGGGTCCGACTTGTCACATCACCCCTCAGCACACAACAAGCACGACACACCTTAACGTACTTGCTGATCATTTTAGCCCACGAGACCCCTCGCTCGCACCATAAGCCACGCTTTCCCCACCCCCATCCCGCACATCGTTCAGGTCAAGGGGTCGGCAATTTTGTAACCGTCGAGCGGAACAAAACAGGAGCCCAGAGCAAAGATAAAAAGTTAAAAGCGGGGACGAGGGCCTCACTCCAAGGCCCTCGGCAAAAAACGAGCGTCTGGCATCGCCAGCTCCCACTTCCGGCCCGCCCGGGCACGAGAGAACCAGCACGTGGGCCTCTGCGGCGCCCGGCCCCGAATTGACCTCCGGGCAGCGCGCCGGTCGGCCGCCAGCGCGCAGGCGCCGGGACCCCGCGA